AATTTGAGCGATGGGAGAGTGCTAACAGCTCCATGCCTGTCACCGTTAACTTGATGGTAGGCCCCACACTCTCATCAGTATTTGCTGGGGGGGGGGGGGGGTAACTATTGCGTTGAGGAATAAGACTTTGTTGGCCTTAAAGGTGCCATGGGAGCGAGGGGAGAGTGCTAACAGCTCCATGCCTGTCACCGTTAACTTGATGGTAGGCCCCACACTCTCATCAGTATTTGCTGGGGGGGGGGAGTGGTAACTATTGCGTTGAGGAATAAGACTTTGTTGGCCTTAAAGGTGCCATGGGACTCCAATTTTGTTCTAAGTATGTGGTTGCTAATAAGCCTTGAACCAGAGAGTTCCTGGCTTACATCATTTTGTCTTTGCCACTACATTAGCTCAGTGAAAGCTGCTCTCCCAATATTCAAAGTCTGAGAAGAGAATATTAGCGCTTGATGGGGCTAGTTAAGGCCGCAGTTGAAGAAATGCGTCCAACATCTTGAGGGAGGGGACACTATATCTTGAAAAACACATAAAAGTGTTGAGAAGCCTAAAAAGACAGACAGAACTTAGAGGCAGCCATGTTAGTCCAAAGCAAAATCCAACTTCTAATCAGTTTGGATTTTTTTTCTTTTTTAAGTTCTGGAGAACTGTTTTGATTTTTTTCCCTAATAAAGTATTACATGGCTTTTATTTAAAAATGATGAGGTTAAAGAAATTCCAGCAGAGAGGAAACTTCAGTTAACAGAATTCCACATTGAGGGAAGGGTGAGCTTGCATGGTTGCTGCTGGTATCCATGACTCTGGCAACAGGGCAGATTTTCACTTCATTTTCCCGGCCACGGACCACAGAGGAGTAGGAGGTATGTGGTGGGGGCACAGAAGGTAGCTGGCAGCTGTGGGAGTTGGACTGAGAGGACTGGACTCCCACTTAACACAGAACTACTGCCCTACACAAAAATTGAAACAAAGGAAATCAGAAAGAAAAATATACAAGGAAAATCAACCAAGAGGAGGGGAAATGGGCAGGGTTGGAAAGGCCATGAGGTAGGTGGGTGGGACACAGAGACAAGGACAAGAAAAAGAAACATTCCCTTCCACCAGGGGCTTCTTTAAAAACCAGCAGTTGATGTATTATTGTAGCATTGTTATAACCTATCTCAGGTATAAGTTGGTCTAATGTCATAACACTGAAATGCTATGTGAACTGAGGATTTTAAAATAACACCCCAAAAGCCCTTTGGTGGTGGTATTGCACTGGGGCAGGGGAAATGATAACAATGGGGGAAGGATTCAGACAAAGCTATCTACCCAGTATCATTGTGATCTTTCCAAAAAGCATCACGACAAAGCAGATTTGAGAGATCGCAGGAAAGACAGGAAAACCCAGGAAGTGCACAGAAGCAGCACTATGCTGTGAGAAAGTAGGGGGGAAACTCAGTTTCTAATAGCATCCAAGCCTCGGCAAATAACCCTTTTTTTCCCTCCTCCAGGTTAAAGAAATTCCAGCAGAGAGGAAACTTCAGTTAACAGAATTCCACATTGAGGGAAGGGTGAGCTTGCATGGTTGCTGCTGGTATCCATGACTCTGGCAACAGGGCAGATTTTCACTTCATTTTCCCGGCCACGGACCACAGAGGAGTAGGAGGTATGTGGTGGGGGCACAGAAGGTAGCTGGCAGCTGTGGGAGTTGGACTGAGAGGACTGGACTCCCACTTAACACAGAACTACTGCCCTACACAAAAATTGAAACAAAGGAAATCAAAAAGAAAAATATACAAGGAAAATCAACCAAGAGGAGGGGAAATGGGCAGGGTTGGAAAGGCCATGAGGTAGGTGGGTGGGACACAGAGACAAGGACAAGAAAAAGAAACATTCCCTTCCACCAGGGGCTTCTTTAAAAACCAGCAGTTGATGTATTATTGTAGCATTGTTATAACCTATCTCAGGTATAAGTTGGTCTAATGTCATAACACTGAAATGAGGATTTTAAAATAACACCCCAAAAGCCCTCTGGTGGTGGTATTGCACTGGGGCAGGGGAAATGATAAAAATGGGGGAAGGATTCAGACGTAGCCATCTACCCAGTATCATTGTGATCTTTCCAAAAAGCATCACGACAAAGCAGATTTGAGAGATCGCAGGAAAGACAGGAAAACCCAGGAAGTGCACAGAAGCAGCACTATGCTGTGAGAAAGTAGGGGGGAAACTCAGTTTCTAATAGCATCCAAGCCTCGGCAAATAACCCTTTTTTTCCCTCCTCCATGCCAGAACTTGTTCTCTTCCTTCACCATTGTCACCGTGCAGGAGATGAATTTGGCTGCCAACCAGAAGCAAGAGGACATGAGAAGGCTCATCTGGCAGTCAGATGCAGGTATGTCTCCATCCTGCTGTTCTAAAATATTTCAGACCATCTATTTCTGAATTCCAGCTGGCTCTACCCCCACAGATGACCAGTCTAGCTGAAGTCTTTGGCTGTAGCCCTACTGCCATTTCTCATGGAACTGTGAATACAGTGGCTGTAAGAGTGCTGAGGGTTCTGAGAAAACCAGCTTTCTCCAAGGGCTGTTTAAAAAAAAAATGTAGTTAAATGTTTAGCCTAGCAGGATCAGTTTTCAAAGAAATCAACAGGTGAGAAGCCAGGGCCATCATTATTGGATGGATGTGCATGAACCTTGCTGACAAATTAAAGTTCTTCACAGTTTTTGACTAGTTTGTGGTTTGCGAAGCAGTGTTCACAAACTGAAGAACCACCATGAACTTTCATGAATTTTGATGGAGTTCATGGCCGGGGCAGTTCATGAAGAGCAGAAAGCAGGGGTTTAAACCCCTAGCTGCATCCTGTGCAATTGTAGGGTGTACTCTTTGCCTGTTATAGCTTATCAGCTAGTGGCCTTCAAATTGCCAACAGCCTTGTCTATATCCTCAGGCACTACTAATCAAAACAGTCAGGTAGACCCTTAGTGTGGCTTTCAGGAGCTGATACAAGTGATTTTTTACTTCAAAATGTCTGGTCATTTTCAGTTTTCTAATCTCTAGAGGCTTCTTCATTCTCTTTGGCCATCTACCTTAATGGTCCTAGTCCTATTTAAAGAACTCTACTTGTGTAGATACAATTGGAGCAGCTATGGCTCAGAGGTAGAACATGTGTTTTGCATGCTGAAGGTCTGATGTTCAATTCCCGGCACCTCCAGTTCAAAGAACCAAGTAGCAGGTGATGTGAAAGACCACAGCCTGTGGCCTTGGAGAGCTGCTGCCAGTCTGTGTAGACAATACCTTGATGGACCAGTGGGCTGGTTCAGTATAAGGCAGCTTCATGTGACTAAGAAGCATCTCTTTGCCATCTTGGTCACCAGGCATACACTCTATAAAGCAAGCTACGCTCTGTTGGTTGGGAACACAACCAGGTATTGTAGCATTTCTCATGTGTCTGACAATAGTGTGGGGTCTTTAAGCAGGATAGAAAATTACAAGGTGGTGATAGGACTCATCTCGTCCCTAAAGCAGTCAATTGCCAATATTCACAGAATTAAAAAAAGGAATCTCTCAAGAGTATTCTTCCCAAGACTGTGGTTTGCTGCAGCTTTCCAAAAGAGCCATAATGGAGGCCAGAAGATTGGCTGCAGCTAGCTGGTATGTCCTTAAAGGCACTACCCTCTCTTGAAAAGACTGATGATATTACATAAGCAGTTTCATATACCCAGTTTTCTGTGTGAGTATATAGGGCTGCCTTATGTAGAAACAGACCACTGATTCATCTAAGTCAGTTCTTCAGGGACCTCATTGTGTGTGTGTGTGTGTGTGTGTCCTTCCTACTGCGTTACCTGCGAAAACGTGTACTCTGACATTAATTGACATTAATTGATGGAGACCTAAGGAATGAGAGATATGAATGCATAGGATAGAGCTAACTCACCACTACCATAGCTGGGTGTTTGTTCCCTCCCTATCTGTGACTTGCTGCCAAGGATCTATCTTTCAGCATTACTCATCCCTAATCTCCTCATATCTACAGGCACAGCAAGGTACCGGTCAAGCAGTAAGCTGGATCCAGCAAGGATCACACTACAGCCCATGGAGATTCGGACCTTCCTGGTTCAAATACAGCAAGAGTTCCACAGATGAAATTAACACTCTCCCTCAGATTCTGTCCAGTTGGGAGTCAGCCATTACCTCAAGCAGTGGAAGGACACAGGAAGTCTCCTGGGGGACTTTTCATGCTGGAGCAGATGTCTCCAGCTGTCTGGGCCAAATATTCTCATCTCGTGTAGAGAGAGGATTCTTTTGGGCTGCTTAAAGCCTTTCTTGGAGTTTGCTTTGATTTTCCCCCTTATTGGTGAATGGGGAAAGGATCACAGAAGAATGGGCTGTTTCTTCTCTTCTGTAAAAGGCTGCAATGCGATTGTGTTTTTCCTTAAGGAAGCATAGTAGCCTACTGTTAAGTGCAATCATTACCTTTTTAATAAACCACTTCATAAAACCTTTTAGAACCTGACAGGGAAAAAGGAGCACCTCACATTCTTCGAAAGGCCAGTACTAGTTTGCAAAACGGCCATTGCCCCCCTGTACCTGCAAGTCTGCCACATCTTCCCCTTTCTATGATCTGCAGCACTCCTGGAGTGGAAGGAAAGGAGGGACAGGCTGCCGCATCCCTAACACTGCTGTGTTTGGCAGTGAACTTTAAGGGCACAAATGGGAGGAGCTGCAGTCTTTGGCAAAGAACAAGGAAGAGCCAGAGTCCCACTCATGAACAATTGCAAAATAATAATCATGTGTATGATAACTATAGGAATATTATTTACACAAGTCAAATAGGGATTTGTGCTTTTGGCACATACAGCTAGCATGCAGATGCAGTCAATCACTGTTCTGACCTGCAGTGTAAGTTCACCCAAGGAATGACGACAAGTCTGAAACGCAAATGCTGTCTACATAGTCTTGTTGCTTTTTGACACCAAGACTTACAAAAGAACTCTGGTCTCCTGAGGAAGTCTGTCCTATGCACAAAGGAGTCCTATAACAATGAGCATTCAATTTGTAGTTTGTGCCGTCGGAAAAGAAAATGAGGGGGCAGAGGAGAGAATATTGGGATACTTTTCAAAAACCCCATGGAACTAAGTAAGAGCTTGTAGGACTAATGGCAGTGTACTTTTATTTAGATTAGCAAACCTGACTTTCTGCTCCTTTGGTTGAAAAAGACAAGGCCAATAGTTTACTGGTGAAGTAAAACTACGCTGTGGTGGCTCAAGTGGTTAAGACGCTGAACTGCAGGCTGTGGAAGGTCAGTAGTTCAGCAGTTCGAGACCTGAGTTGCCGCATGACGGAGTGAGCTCCCCTCTCTGGCCCCAGCTCCTGCCAACCTAGCAGTTCGAAAGCAAGAAATTGCAAGTAGATAAATAGGTACCACTTTGGTGGGAAGGTAACAGCGTTCCGTGCGCCTTGGTGTTTCGTCATGCCGGCCACATGACCACAGAAAACGTCTTCGGACAGCGCTGGCTCTTCAGCTTTGAAACGGAGATGAGCACCGCAACCCTAGAGTTGGATTCGACTGGCTTTCGAGCAAGGGAAACTTTACCTTTAAAACTATGATGTATCACTTCCCTCCCTCAGAGGCAAGACTTCCCCTCCGTTTTTCTTTCCCTTTACTTACTGAGCTGCCCTAGTAATGTGTTTTCTTCTTTTCTGAAGAACTCTGGCTGTCATAGGATAATATTTTGGCTATTTGCTCAGCCCAGGAACCTGAGGAAAGGATTTTGGGAGCCCCCTTTAACTTTAACGGCACTCTGTAAGGATCAGGGCCCATACACGTCGAGGCTTCCTTTAAGTGATATCAACCTGTAAGTTCTCACAGGTCAGTGCAGCCTGTTCGGGCCGGGCATTAATTAAAGGCACCTGGTGGCCTTGACAGCTGGCAGAAGATGTTCTTATATATTCCAAATTATGTCTGGACCAAAGGACAACCCCTCTCTCATTCTCAGGCGCTGACCCACAGCCACCTGAGCTCTCGGAGTCTCACCGGGTCCTGGTCCCTCGTTAAGGTTCCTTTGCTTCTCAGTCCCCTTTGAGGATGTACATGGATGTTCAGCAAGCTCTCCTGGCGCAGCAAATAAAAGGAAATCTCTCTGCATTTATTTAAATTGTTCAAATGATGAAGAGTGTTTGCTAGGCAGAAACCACACGGAATCACAGGATTAACTGCACAACAGTGATACTTCACTTATGCTGGGCAGCACCCTGGGCTCTAAAGCTCCTTACAGGCTCCCCTCGGTAAGGCAATCCAATCCCAGCCACACAGACAAACACAGCATCATGAAGACACTGCAAGGGGGGTGAGAAGAGAGGCAGCCCTCTGGTCAGCACCGAAGTGGGTCTGATTCCAGCTGACATCCCAAGACACTCCCACAAACACACAGGACAAACAAGCAAAATCTTCCTCAGAAGAACAGGCTGGTCGTCTTCCCAACCGCACAAACAGTCAGCATCGTAGGGACACTGACAGGCCCTGTTAGCTAATCAGCACAGAGTTAGTTCCCTTTGCTCTCTGGCAGGCAGATAAGAACATCTTCTGCCAGCTGTAAAGGCCACCAGGTGCCTTTAATTAATGCCCGGCCGAACAGGCTGCACTGACCTGTGACAAATTACAGGTTGATATCACTTAAAGGAAGCCTCGACGTGTATGGGTCCTGATCCTTATACCTCCCCCACTCCATCAACACGGCAAAAGACCGTGGCGATGGAGTCACCCAGCAATAAAACATACCCTACAAATACAAGACAACCAACATATATATATACCACGTAATATTGCATGCAGAGTAACAAAATTAATAACAGGTGGCGCAGGGGATTTTTCCCTGCTTAACAATAACATGCTTTGGCAGTTCTAGCCCCGTGCTGGTGTGAGCAACCAAGCCTTGTCCTAGCTCATCGTCTACCCAGCGATTCAAAAGCTTCGGTGAGTAGATAAATTGGGGGCCACCCGTAAGGGCCACACCCCTATGAAAAGAAAAAGAAAAGAGAAGTATAAAAATTTTAAAGGACAGTGGAGAAGAAAAAATACACCCAAGGATCTAAAAAAAATAATTGAGACATTTTATAGAAAGTTCTATCAAAGAGGAGAAGCTACAACAGAGGAGATAAAAGATTTTTTAAAGAAATATTACTCAAAAAATTTACTGAAGAACAAAGGGAAATTTTAAATGATCAAATAATTACATGTGAAATTATAGAAGCATTTAAAAAAAACAAAAAAGAGGGAAGCACCAGGTCCGGATGGATTACCACGTAATTGAAAATAAGTTATATCACCTTTAAAGCATATAATACAGAGCATAAGAGCAGAAGGTAAAACAGCAGAAATTTGGAATGAAGCCCTAATAACACTGATACATAAGCAGAACTCAGATGAGAAAGAAATTAAAAACTATAGACCAATTTCACTATTAAATGTTGACTATAAAGTCTATACTTCTATCTTAGCTACAAGATAAATTCATCAAGACCACGCAGGATTTTTACCAAAAAGACACCTCAGAAATAATGTTAGAACAGTCTTGAATGTAATTGAATATTTTGAAGCACACCCAGAAGAACAAATGGCCTTGATTTTTCTGGATGCTGAAAAAGCATTTGACAATGTCAGTTGGAGTTTTAGCAGATTCACAATGTGGCAAAGAGGTGTAACCAGAATTTTAAAGTTGTTAGCCAAGCTCTGGTCACTAGAAGGTGCTGTCCTGTCTCCAGGCATGTGGCTGCATAATTTACACAATTTGTCACTCCAAGGATACGCCGCAAAAACATTGCCTGGATCTGCTCAACCTGTTGATTAAGGAGCCAATCCAGACAGGGATCCCATAAAGCAGGGGTGTCAAACATGCGGTCTGGGGGCCGGATCAGGCCCTCAGAGGGCTGCAATCCATCCCACGCCCTGGCTGTTTCCTGCTTCCTTTTCCAGTTCTGCTGCTGCTACATCACAGCTGACTTTGCCAGACTCTCTCAAACACACAGGAGAGATAGATAGGCAAGCCTCTCCTGTGCAATTGAGAGAGTCTGGAAAAGTACTGGCTGAGGCTCCTCTCCCTCCTCCTGCCAAGGGGATGGAGGGAATCAGCCAGAGCTCACTTCCTGGCCAGGCTGCCTCAATTGTATACAGGAGACAAAGGGAAGCCTTCCTTTCCTTCCACTGACTAAGGCTTCTCCCTGGAGGGAGGGGAAAGCTTGCTTTGCTGGGCTGCCTCAATTGCACGGCAGAAATACCAAGCACCTTTAAGACCAACAATGTTTTGTACAAGGTATGAGCTTTTGTGTGCCTTGCTACAGTGTGTGTGTATTCTGTTGGGCTCCTTATGCTGTGTGTGTTTTGGGGGGGAGGCTACTTATGCCAGGGCTCTCCTGGGTGCAACTGGGTTCCCTCTGCCTTTTCACTGTGTTTATGCCCTCATGAGCCAGTCTTTCTCAGTAAGAAAGCAATGTGAACTATTTTAGAGGAGGAATAACAACAAGCCAGTGAAGTGGATTGGGCTGAGAGTGTGTGTCCAGACCAAGTTCACCCAGCACATTTCCTTTGTAGGAAGTTGTAGTTATTTCTCTGGGGAAGACTATAGTTTTGTAGACAGACAAACAGCCCTCAGTCTGTGTCAGGATTCCTTTTCATGTTCTTGACCAGGATATGAAGCAACTTATGTACAAAAGCTCGCAGTGCCCAGCCATTTCATGTTTTCCCCTGGGTCCTAGGCTCAGAACACTGACCATGAGATTTCTATAATGAATGTCAATAAATCAAAAGTAGGTTTGCAGCTTACAGATACACACCTGAACAGCATACTCAAGATTGCTACAACACAGACATTTTGATGCAATAATTCAGAGTAAGAGGTGTCAGTTATCAGAAACTGTTAAAAAGACAACATATTGCAGGAGTGCTAGTGTTTTAAGCATGTTTTAAAGTTAAAAAATATATTTGTGTTTGTCTATGTCCTTTATAAAATTTATATCTCCGCAACTAAAGCTCAGAATTGTTTGCTATTCTTAGATAGAGATGCCTTAATTAACAGGTCCCAGTTCTTAGTGTGTAGCAGCCTCTTCTTATGAGCAATGACAGTCTGGGATCAAAAAATGAGGCTTCTTCCAAACGGGATCTCTCAACTCTCACCATATACACATCAAAGCTGGTTTCCTCCTGGCATGAAACAGAATGAGTTCATGGTCTGGACAAAAGGACAAATAAATCGGCCTGTTGACCTAGTGCATCATATATGACAAACAGTTTCTTGATCAAACTTTGGGATCACAGACGCCATGGTATCAATATCTCCAATTAAACAATCTAACGGAAATGTTAGCAGATAGAGTGACATTCCTGAGAGAACTGACCCCACTAGAAAAAATAATTAAAAGTTACTCAAGCTCACCAAGAGGGACACTCTCCAAACTCTATAAATTAATAGTAATGGCGGAAAATCAAACGAAACTAAAACATTGAGATGGGAAGAACTGAATATGCACTGGCAGGAATCAGATTGGGATGCAGTTTGGTCCTCCCCAGCAAATAGCTCCACAATATATAACATACGCTTACAGAACTTTAATCTCCAGATGGTATATGACACCAAACCAATTACATAAAATCAACAAAAACAATGACCCGTCATGCTGGAAAAAATGTGGGCAAGAGGGCTCTTATTTACACTGCTGGTGGAGCTGCCCAAGGATTCTCAAGTTTTGAATGGAAGTGTCAACTAGTATAAATGAGATAACCTCACA